TTTTCCTTCTTTCCATGTTTTTCATCTTTCTTCCTTCCTTCCTTCTTGTTTTCCTTGCTTGCTTGCTTGCTTACTTCTCATTTTCCTTCCTTCTTTCCTTGCTTCTCATTTTCCTTCCTTCTTTCCTTCCTTGCTTGTTTTTCTTCCTTCTTCCCTTCCCTTCCTTTCCTTAGCACTAGCGCTTAGATATATACCGCTTGACACGGCTTTACAGCCCTCTCTAACCAGTTTACAGAGTCAGCATCTCACCCCCAACAATCTAGGTCCTTGTTTTACTGACCTCAGAAGGATGAAAGGCGGAGTCAACCTTGAGCTGGTCAGGATCGAACTTGCTGCCAGTGGGCAGAGTCAGCCTGCAATGCTGCATTCTAACCACCAGGGCTCCTAAAGGCACAATACTGGAACTCTCACTTCATGTGGAAGGACAGGCAGAGCCTTGGGTGTGGGGAGAGTCAAGACAGGAATCAGCCTAGAGCTGCTGTGTTCCCACAAATGGTTTTAAGTTCTACCCCTTCAATTTGGTTGACTCTGATCCAGCGCCTTGATGCTGACATTTGACTAGATTCTTGCGTGCAAGTAAGTCCTTCACCTGCTACCATTCGAACAGCTAGGGCAATAGCACTTAGACTTATACACCGCTTCACAGACCTCGCTAAGTGGCTTACGGTGGGTGTCAGCCTATTGCCACTGTCTTGCTTAGCAGCAGAAATTTTGGGCACCATTGTGGTCATACATCAAGGACTGCCTGTATTTCTCGTCCCGGCCTCCGGTGTGTTTCCAGAATAGGTCTTGACATAACACCATCCCGTCCTAGCAAGCTAACTAAGGCCTTTACAATTCAGCCAAGAATTTGGGGGCACAAAAGGGTTGGTTAGCTAACTATCAACTCGTAAAGCATTTCTGGCTTGCTCTCAAGTTGCCATAAGAAGGGGTGGGTGGGGAGATCTGATGTAGCAGATTGATTGCTATGACCAGAAGCACATTCCACGCATACCTTTCTCCAGATTGTGTCCCAGGTTACCCGTGCCAGCCGGATAGGCATGTTTTCTACAGCCCGGGAAAGTGCTCTGTTGGAGAATGTGAGTTATGACATACCTCCCTTGGAGAATGTGTTTTATAACATACCTCCATTGAAGAATGTGATTTATGACATTCTCCATTGGAGAATGTGATTTATGACATACCTCCATTGGAGAATGTGATTTATGACATACCTCCGTTACAGAATGTGATTTATGACATAACTCCATTGGAGAATGTGATTTATGACATACTGTCGTTGGAGAATGTGATTTATGACATACCGTCGTTGGAGAATGTGATTTATGACATACCTCCATTAGATACTGTGATTTATGACATACTTCCATTGGAGAATGTGATTTATGACATACCTCCATTAGAGAATGTGATTTATGACATACCTCCATTAGAGAATGTGATTTATGACATACCTCCATTAGAGAATGTGATTTATGACATACCTCCATTAGATAATGTGATTTATGACATACCTCTGTTAGAGAATGTGATTTATGACATACCATCGTTGGAGAATGTGATTTATGACATACCTCCATTGGAGAATGTGATTTATGACATACTTCCATTAGATAATGTGATTTATGACATACCTGTTAGAGAATGTGATTTATGATATACTTCCATTGGAGAATGTGATTTATGACATAACTCCATTAGAGGATGTGATTTATGACATACCTCCGTTAAAGAATGTGATTTATGACATA